ACCAAAGTTTCACCTGCTTGGATATCTGATTCTCCATATGTAGGTTAACCAGGCAAATGTGCCCCTTAATAATGCTTGGAATCAAGGTGGGAAAAGGGTGGGAAGAGCATCCTGCGCTTGTGACTTCTGAGTTTGTGGGATGTAACTGAAAGCCAGCTCTCTGTCTTGAAAGAAACTGTTCTGTACAAGCTTGATCACCCTCTCTGGTCCACCCTGAAGGTGGTCCTCAGATGAGCTCTCTCTGGTTAGGGGTCTCTTGCCCCAAACCTCATGAGTTTTGCTTGGCTTCCCTGCAAAATCTTAGCAAGCGATCAACCACCGAGTGAAGATGAAGACTGCCCTCTGCTCCTGCCCTTGGTGTGGTTCACCCCAAGCAAAGAGAAGTGCATCGGTGGTGGTTAATTTTCAAAATCCAGTTTTCAAATACCTGCTACTTATGTGCCATCTGCTTTCGTCCTTGATGTCCTCCAGACACTCGCGCTACCGTCCCTGACGCCACGCTGGAAGTCAGCGATGGCCATGCTCTTCTGTTGACCTCGTGGTTCCCAAGACCCTGGGATCCACATGGAAAATTAAATGATTTAGTGCCCCAAACTTTGTAATTGCCTCAATCAGAGAAGCATAAGGAGAGGAGCTTGGAGAAGTCTAGAGTCCCCTTGGTCTGTGCAGGTCCAGCAGCAGTGAGGAAGGGAAAATGGTAACTGGAACCAGTCTTGATTCCTCCCCCTCTTAGCGTCAGGTATCTGGTGAATATTTGCGAATGTTTGAGCACCAGAAGGATGATAAATTCTCCACCAGTTTATTTCAAACCAGCCCTTCCCAAGGCACAGATAACAGCCAGCCACGGCGTTGCTTGCAAAGCCCAGCCAAAGGAGCCCCGCCTCAAGCAAGGGAATGAATTTCTTTCCATCCCGATTCATTGAAACAACACAAGTTCCTGCCTCGTGTGATTTTCCTGTTGTGTTTTTGTTAGAGGGAGACACACAAGTCAGGCTACCAGCTCACTGCAAAACACCCGCATTGCAAACTCTGCTGCTTGCAATACGCCTGGTTATTTAGGACAGCGTTATTAAAAAAAAAAATTCCTTTCAAGTATGTAAAAATGAGCGCCTAAAATCACTGTACTGCAGAGACACGAGGCACGCCAATTGAAAAAAAAAAAAATTAAAAAATGTATGTCTTCATTAAGCCTGGTGCATGTTTCCTCCCAGGCATTTTGTCTTCCTGAGATGGTTGTTTTGTTTTAACTTCCTTCATTACAGCATGCCTTTTTATTTTCCTGAAAGTAGGGCACACACTTTTCGCAGGGAGGCTGGCTTATGCTTTAGCTGCATTTATTAATAATGCAGAGGAGAATAATGCTTTGCATCCATTACTTCAGTGCCCTTACAGAGCAGAACAGATATTTCTAAAATCAGCCTGGGAAATTAGGGGTCTCTGCGGGGACGTTGTGGGACAGGGCGGAGGCTGCGATCCCCCCTTCCTGCTTCTGCGTCCTCCCCGGAGGAAACGTTGCTCTGCAGAGGGAAAGCGTAGGCATCGTCTTTCCCCACATAAGTGCTCTGAACCAGCCTCTATAGGCGCCTGTCGACTATTTAGGGACATCACCGGGTCCCCTAAGGTGGGGGTCTGGTGGGGTGAATAGCCTGTAGAGCCTTGCAAGGCTTTCTAAGAGCAAACGCTCCCACTGGTTTGAGGCACTCAGGCACACGGCAACGGGACTGCCTGGGGAATTCAGCTTATTGCAAACTTTGTACGAGGCTCAAGGCCGCATCCATCGCAAAGAAGGCTGGCAGAGGGAAGCAAGAAATATATATACCCTATATACCGTATCATCTGCTTCGTCCTTTCGTTGCGATTCTGTACTCCAGTTAATTCACGGAACTTTCTTCAGACACATCTGGGTCATATTTTTCTCTTTTCCACTTAAAATGCGTCCTGAACATTAGCACGTTGGCTAGAGGTCCTCGCAGGGAGACAGACCGGTCCCAGCGCTGCAGTTCCCATTGCCTGCCCGGTTCCCACCATTAGATTTGCCAGGGATCCAACAGATAACGAATAAATGCTCTTTATTTTTCAACGAACAGCATAGGTGAGAGGCTAAACCAAATCCAGAGGGCACTGGTAGGAGACAGACCTTAAATGATATTAGATAGTCATGGCTGGATCGTAATCTCTGTGAATTGTAGCTCTTGCAAAGGACCAGGAGATATTAATGTTCCTAGAAGCCTCCTTGGTTCACCTTTTGTGTAGTTTTAAGTGATGGATTCTCCGAGGATCCATGATTTAATGTACAGAACATGCATAGCTATGGCAAGCTCCCAGCCACCTCAGACCCAAATTACTTTGATTTTTAGGTAGGTCTAATGTGGGGAGGAGAAACCGCAGAGGAAGGATTCATATAACATCTAAATAAATTCTCATCCGTCTTGGAGATTAAAACCTTTGTGAAATCCAGAGGCAAAAATGAATCTGATTTTGAAAAAAAGCCTAAGTGAAAAGCTCTCCAGTGTGATGTTCAGGAGTGCAGTGTACCATGGAAAATAAAGCAAGGCAGTTTGGAAATCCTTCATAACTCGCAAACCTTTGGGAGGGGGCACAGGCTCGGAGCAGAACGTGATCAGTGCTCGAGTGGAGGAGAAATTGCGCTGTGAATCTCTCCCTTCCCACAAACCTCCTGGTTTTCTCTTGAAGAAGGTGAGGAGGGAGGATCACGTTTCCACGCGGAGCACCGTCCAGCCAGATCTCGCACCTATAAACGTCGCACAGCTGATGATTGCCATGCCATCCAGTAAAGCATCGCTGCTGGGTGTCCTCCATGCTCCTGTATTTCTGTCCCACACTAGGCGAGTGGCCTCGTGAGTTTTTGGTGGACCAACAGACCTGGAGCAGTGCTTCCCTGCTCTCTCTGGGCAGTGGTGTCCAGCCATTAGGACCTGTGGCGTGGCTGGCGTGGGCTGTGGCACCAGCGCCGATTCCTCCTTGGCCTCCTCAACCACTCGTCTCCAACTTCCAGCCCTGTGGCACTCCAGATTTACAGCTGCATCTTCAGACATGGTTAATTAAGAGTCTGAGCAGACAGGGAGGCGTTGGAGGGGTTTGAAACATCATTGCTCTTGCCTTTGGGCTGCAGAAAGGTTTACAAGCCCTGACCAAGTCATGAAGTCCCTTCTGTGGGACTTAACACCGAGCCCCTCGGGGGTAGCAACTTGCTTGGGAGATGGAGTTTTGAAGTGCAGCTTTAAAATGTCTTCATGTGTGACTCCCTTGGGGCCGACGGGAGGACGGGGAACCCACCACCTCCTCCTATGGGCCGTGGTGTCCCTCCCCAAGAGCTCCTCTTTCTGCCCCAGACGGCTTTGTCCGAGCTTGGCTGGTTCTGCTATCAGAAACCGTTCCCTGCCTACAAAATCATGCCTCAGGTGTTTCTCTCTTGCACAAAAGTCCTTTTTTTTAATTCTCCAGAAGTCTCTTGAGTTGGCAGATCTGACCCAAAATCCCTTTCCCGCATCTCTGGGGAAATCCTACCTGTTCCTAATGCCACCTGCACGGGGAGAAGGGGACAATGGGGACACACCCTGACCTCCAACCTTCTAGAGGTCTTGGAGAGTTCAGTAATTTGGTATAGAGAGAGCATGCCAACAGTCTACCCTTCTGTGTTCACAAAAAATACCTTTAAAGAAGCCATAAATGGGTGATTTTCTTTGATTCCAGCAGCTGCGTCGTTTTACCTCCTTTGCCCTCCACAACTTCACAAAAGCAGTTTGCTGAGGATTGATCAACCCTCGCTTGGTTTTCTTTCCTTAGTAGCTGGGTGTGAGAAATACGTTCTGCAGTACGTGGAAAACCTGGAGTTTAATTCTTTCATAATGCCAGCTAGAGCAGCTTGTTAAGCTGGTGAGCAGCGAGCTGTAATAACTGGCTGAGGCTTTCAAAAAATGTATGCGCTCCGTTGGGAGGTGGTGGGACTTAAACCAAGAATGGTGGGGGCCACCATTTGAGATGAGACTGGAACAAAAAGTTAGGACAGAGCCATAGTTTCAGGGGATTAAAAAAAAAAAGAAAAACAGAAAAAGACCTGTGAAGCCTTTCCCAGAGGTACCAGCCTTGGGAAGGAGCCTGATTGTACGCTTGTGTTGGTGATCTGCCTTCTCCGTAGATGTGCTCCAGAAAGCATTCGGTGTAATGGCAGTCCTTCTTAGATAAGCATTGACAATGTGTTCGGATATAGGATAAACGTATAGCCAGTGCTGGTTCATCATCCAGAGGTGCATTATGGCTGTTAGTATAAGACCTTTTCCTCTTTCAGAAAATTTAAGATGTACAAAATGACTGAATTCTGTTGGTCCTTTCTCAAATCCCACAAGATTTGGCTCTTGAGATTCTTCTGGATTATCTTACTTGGCTTCATAAATACTTCTCCACAAACTGGGATCCAGGGCGACGTGCCCGAAGCCACTGCTTCTGCTGGCTGTCCTTTCCAGAGTTTCTAAGGACCACCCAATGCTGTGATGGGATGGTCACAGCGACCAGTAGCTTGGCCATTGGTGGTACCTGCCATGCAAGCATCTCAAAGGGTTTTACTGTGAATAAAATGCCTTGCACACCAGGCTCGGCCTGTTTTCCAGCTGGGAAACACAAGGCCAAGGACAGCTGTTACTGGTCCCTATGCACGGAGGTGACCAGTGGCATCTGGGAAGGGATGGTGGCTCTGCTGGCTATGTCCCCTTGGTGTGGATCTCTTCACGCAGGTCACTTAGCTCAGGACACCAGTCGTTCGGGGTAGGTAACTGGTTTGCTGCAATGCACTGTGCAAACCATCCCTCCATGGGGAGCAGGTGGGGCGAGAGGACCCACGGTGGGAAAGTCCTGCAGACAGTTGTCCTTAAAAGGTGGCAGGGGGGAGGAAGAGAGCAGCAAAGTGGTTCAAATGTGACATAAATGTGGGAAGTTATATCTTCATTGCTCTCTGTGACACCTCTTCTCTGTCTCCACTCAAGCTACACTTCTGATGAAGCAAGCCTGGCCACAGACCTCCTCCTCCTGTGCCACGGAGGGCACCTTCCACCTCCCGGTGGACACCGGGACCGAGAACAGAACTTATCAGGCTTCTTCTGCAGCATTCAGTAAATAAACCTTTTCTTCTGGGGTTTTACATGGTTGTTTTGTGCCCATTTGCCTCTCAGTGGGTTATCTGGGGATGAGGTTGTTTGGGATCAGCCTGTTTGCTGATCATTCGTGTCCGTGCAGGTACGCGTGTGTCCGTGTGTCCTTCCCTGGGTGCTGAGCCCTGACACAGGTGAGGGTGCTGCAGGTGCTGGGGGTGCTCGCTGGCACCCTGCAGCAGATCCATCACCTTCTGCCACTGGAGCTGCCTGGCGGGAGCATTGCGCTGCTGCTGCAATCCCTTCTGGGGTGAAATTTTGCAGAGCTCTTGTTTTTATTCTTCTGAAAACCAGGTAGCATCCCTGCTCCTTTCTGTTCGCGTTTGTTAAAACCATGAAGGAGCATGGAAAGGAGAGCACTGACCCTCCTAGTGCTCCTTCGGAGGAGGAAGAGTCAAGTGGGGAAGGGTGAAGGCCTCTCTTTTAGCTGAGTGTTTGGTCCCCATGAGCAACGTGAGGTTGTTTGCAGGTGTGTATCTGCAGCGGTGATGTTCCGTCGTTGAGCATGCATGGAAAAACCAAAGGGAGTTTATTTCCTATTCCCTTAAAAGTGAAAGAGAGAATTCCAAAATAAAGCGTGATTTTCAAGGAACCCAGGTGAAATTCCCACCTTTTAACTCAAACTGGCCGAGCAGAGGCAGGGGGAGGAGATGCTGCTTACAGATCGCAGTCAAACAGGCTTTTCCAGGTGGAGCCTTGTAATCTCATCCCTTATGAGGCCAAACAGTGCCTCCAGGAGGGGTGATAAGCTCCCTGATAAGGCTCCCCCCGCCCCCCCGAGCTTCCCCTGGTATGTGGGGTGTCCTCTGGCCCCTGCCCAACGGCTCCTGCCTGCTCTCGCCCTCACCTTGCCTGCTAAAGTTGGTGCACGGCTAACGCGGGGCGTGCTGCAAGCGTGAGGTGGGACCACTCTTGGGTTCAAAACGCAAAATTAACCCCTGGTGCTTCCAAACATCCCTGGGACCTGGAGCAACTCCCAGTCATCTTTGGAGACAAAAATACATGGTATCTTAAAGGGACTTTCCATGGGCCGTGTTTGCAAGGCTGGGACCGCTGCGCCCATGCACACATGTGAGTTGAAGTGTTCCTCACCGTCTGTCTGCTCCAGGCCCCCTTTTTGTGCTAAATTAAATCATGTACAGAATGAGATGAGAGGAAAAAATATCGGGTTGTTTTTTTTTCTGACTAAAAGAATTATTAAAAATAAACCTATTAAAAGCCTTCGGGAGACTGCGTTGTTGGAAAGGGATGTCCCTACTGTTCTTTGGGGTAGGGGCTGTACACCTGACACGGTGCATGGACTTTGCATCACACCTAATTTCATGCCAGACCAGATTTGACCGAGTTGTAAGTGTTTGAAAAATCTCAGTGTGTAATTAGTAGAAACCTAGATATTATTCGGCAAAATTCCTCTGGAGTTCAACCCATGGGATTTCTCCTCCCCGTTGCACCTCTGGGCTGCTGCGGGTGAGATTTCTTTCTCCAAATCAGAGAAGACAAGAGCAGGTACCAGGTTAGGAAGGGGTTTGGGGGCAAAATTTGGCCGTGGACACCCAGCATGGGTGATAAAGGAGTTTAATAGCGCGACACTGGCCAGACCCATGCAGGTTGGCCTCGATTCCAGAGAACTGGCTTGGGCACATTTAATTTGGACGTAGGTAAAGCGTTGAGGTTTGATTTGCAGCAATGCTTCAGGCTTATAGCTGCGGTTGGCTTCTCCAGAGCACGGCTGGGAGATGTCGTCTGAAGCACAGGCTCTGGAAAATCAGAAGCATTTCAGGCTGGGCATCCCAAATTGGTTCTGGCCTTCGGCTTGATCTCACCTAGCTTAGCTTTTGTTCTTGGAAGAACAGCCTTCCCGAGGCGTCCCGTGGCAGGAGGGGGGTGAGAGCTTACTCATGAGCATCAGCAAGGTGTCAGATCTGGATGGAGGAGAGCCAAGGAGAAGCCTGGGAGATGAGTCCTTCTGTTCCCAGGGTGAAGAGTGTCCACCAGTATGGACTGGAGCCACACGCTGAACAGGGATAAATTCAAATAAATGTGCAACAGCTGCTCAGTACCTCCCCACATCTCCACCACTGAGACAGAAAGGGCGCTGAGGGCTCAACTGGGCTCTGAACCTGCAGTGAAAGATGGTGGCAAGACACGCATGAGCTTAAAGGCTGGGTAAGGGCTGCCTGGGTGCCTTCATCCTGGCCTTACCTACAGCGGGGGGACACGCCTTTTGGCTTTTTATCCTTTAATGATGGGCTTTCAAAGCTTGGTTTTGCCTGAGGTATTTTGTTTTGTTGCTTAGATGCTCCAGTTGAGATCGGGGGGTCATATACACAAAGGTTTGCACGTGCTAGTGAGCAAGGTTATCGATTTTATGGTGATTTCTGCCCAGAGCCAACTGTTTGCTTTTGTCTGGCTGGTGAGGATAGTGGTGGCAACGACGATATGCCAGGGAGAACGTCGGCAGAGGCAGTGCAAGCCTACCAGGCAGCTGCCCGTGCTGGTGTCCACACCATGGCATCTTCCCCTGTGTTGTCCCCATGCTCACCACTCCAAAACTGTTCCTCCAGCCCCCTGGGTACAGGGAGGGTGTCCGGATGATAAAGCCAGGCGAAAGGCTGGAAGAGGATGAGCCAGACTTGGAGGGCAGTGGCAAGGGCAGGACCAGACACTGGGAACAAGTCAGACTCAACCGGACCATGTAACCACGTAGGACCTCCCGGAGCTGCTGGCAGCTGCTGACTCCTGCCCACAATCTGCCGCGGCATGAGCCCCAAGCTCTGCCCTGCGTCCTCCTCGGGGGATCTGCCTTCTGCTCCCAAGGGTGGGAGTGCGCTGAGTGTAGCCGCCTTAGACACAGCTTGAATTTACTGAAAAAAAATGCAAGTCTGTTTTTCTAGAATCATAGTGGTATCCCAGAATCGTTTGCATTGGAAGGGACCTTCAAAGATCATCTAGTCCAACCCCCTGCCATGGGCTGGGACACCTTCCGCTAGACCAGGGTGCCCAAAGCCCAGTCCAACCTCACCTTGAACACTACCAATGATGGGGCATCCACAGCTTCTCTGGGCAACCTGTGCCAGTGTCTCACCATCCTCACCATAAAACATTTCCTCCTAATGTCCAATCTAAACCTACCTTCTTTCAGTTTAAAACCATCACCCAGCACCTTCTCCAAGGTGAATAACCCCAACTCTGAGCCTTTCTTCATAGGAGAGGTGTTCCAGCCCTCTTACCATTTTGGTGGCCTCCTGTGGCCCCGCTCCAACAGCTCCATGTCCTTCCCGTGCTGAGGACCCCCGAGCTGGACGCAGGGCTCCAGGGGGTTCTCCCCCTTCTCCTCAGGGCTGCTCTCCACCCCTCCATCCCCCAGCCTGTACGGGCACCGGGGGTTGCCCCCACCCAGGTGCAGGACCTTGCACTTGGCCTTGATGAACCTCATGAGGTTCACATGGGCCCACCTCTCCAGCCCATCCAGGTCCCTCTGGATGGCATCCCGTCCCTCAGGCCTGGCACCCGCACCGCTCAGCTTGGTGTCATCTGCAAACCTGCTGAGGGTCCACTTGATCCCACTGTCTATGTCGTTGATGAAGATACTAAATCGTACTGGTCCCAGTACTGACCCTTGAGGGACACCACTCACTACTGGTTTCTATTTGGACACTGAGCCATTGACTATAACTCTGGATGCGGCCATCCAACCAATTCCTTATCCATCTAAGGAATTACGCTTGTGGTGAACCCTTCATGTGGAAACAAGAGGAACCGGTGATACAAAATTCAGCACAAAGCTTTTTATCCTCCCTTGCCAACCTTAGAGTTAATATAGAAAAATTTATCTGTGCAATTCAGGGCACTTCTGCGCTGCAGGATCAATAAGGTTGAGATTTCTAGAGTGGCATGAGGGATTTAATCAGCAATTTTAATAGAAGCTGGAGCTTAAAAGCTTGCTATTGCTTTTAAAATCCCAGCCTGCTGCTGAAAAAAATGTGAGTGTGTTGAAACTCCCGGCCTGCTGCGGAACCGCGAAGCAGCGATAGCACGGGCCATGCCAACCTCCTAATCCTAATAAGGTGTTAGATAGTCATAATTAGGCTTTAAAATTAGCTGTCAGACACGCTTTTCCGAGAGGAGCATCCATCATCTTGTGTCATTAAAACTTGATTATGCTTCATTTTTATCCGCAAATTGTTCTATTTTTCCCAGTTTATAAACGCGGAAGATTACATCTGCCTGAACTGTTATGTTTAATACTTTTTTTAATATCGTAGCTGAATTGTCCATGATTCAGCAATCGGGAAAATGCAGCAAGTGTTAGCATTCAAGGCGGTGAAACCATGCAGTCTTGAGCTGGTCCACATGTCCAGATGCCCATCTTAAACGAAGCATGATACCGAGAACTGGCAGCCTTCAGGGTCTTTCGTTTGAAAAAATGAGTTCAGAATAGAAAAAAAATCCATCAGATTGAAGAACAGGAGGTCAGTTGGTCTGTGGGTGACATTGTTGGGTTCCTGGAGGACCTCATGATGGAGGAGTCTCCACTTCTGCTGCTGTGGTGAATACGGCCGTTTCAAACCTGCATGTCCTCTCGCTGCTTCCATCTCTCCTTTAAAGATAGTTGCTCTCCTGCTAATGTGAGTCAGAAAAAGAGTCACAGCTATTCTGCTGTTTAATTAACACCTTCTTTCCAATCTGCAGTAATCAGGAGGCGGTGAGATGCTGTTTGGGAGTTCCTAGAAAGCTCCTTGTTATCGTCACGCTGTTTCAGTGCTGGGTGGATAATATGGGATATTAGCAAACTTGAAATCTTGGCCTTCATTAATTACTGCCCTGAACACTGGTTGAATAAATTAGTTCGTTATATTTGAGTGTTTAGATGCCTTATCGCTGGGCTGAGCCTTGACTTCTCTTCTCCGTCGTACACAGTCTTCAGGGCCCATTTGCTCTAAGGATGATTTCTTCCAGCCCTCCTGCAAGAGCTGTCTACCATTTCTCACCAGCCATCCCACCCCATGTGCTTCTCCTTGCTTGTGCAAGCAGACTTTTTTACCATTTCCATTTTTTTTAACCATACATCAAGCTGCGTCCAACGCCTTGAAGCCTTCGCGGCACACTTGATGCAGTCTGGGGCGTCCCATGGCAGCTCAGCTTTTAGTCTACCCTAAAAAAAATACCCTTAAAGCACAACTCTAAGTATTCTTGAGGGTTTTCCCCCAATTTAGCACTTAAGTAATAATGTTTCAGGGGCAACTTCATGGAGCCTTCCTTGGAAATCCCTCTAAAGGTTGGGAATTCAGGTGCCGCATATCCTTGGTGCAGGGACATCCCATCCTTGGGGCAGGTCGCACCACCTTCAGATGCTGTACTTGCCATGAGGGCTTATGGTTCTTCACTGCCAGGTAACAAGAACTGGATTATGCAGTGTTATCGTGGGCCTGCTTAAAGCCACCCCTTTCTTTTTGGAGAGCAAAATTGATGGAGGGTATAGGGATTGACCCCATATTCATCACAAGTCAACAGGTAGGAAGGTACCCTGAAAGGAAGCAGAAGGGTGGAGATCCTTACGGGATGTCCTCGCTCCAGGGAAAGCCTTTAAAAAAAAGACAAATATGATGAGACTGGCATTAGAGGATCTTGAGCTGGTACTGCTGGGTCTTCCTGGAAGGAAAATGTGATTTTATAAGCACCAGACAGCTCAGAACTTAATGCAAATAGCAGCAAACCCCAAAGTGACACCCACAGCCAGCAGGTCAGCTGACATCACGTTATCCTTTAGGTTATTTTTTTGTTAGGTTTATTTTTTGGGACAAATTTCCATGTTTTGGAAAGGATCCTTCATTTTAGTTTGTTCCCCATATACTCAGCATCTCCTCAATGCAGCAAGATAAGCTAAGGTTTCTTTAGACCTTCGATAAAGTGTAAATCTGGGACTTGGGTGCTCCAGCCAAACAGCTTGATGGGACGATGGGGAAGATCTGGGGGATGCTGAAGCCCTTTTCCTTTTTTTTTTTTCCATCCGAACAGAAGAAAGATAAAAATTGCAATCTACCATATCAGGACCACAAATATCGCAAGGGACATTTGCCTGGCTGCCCGCGCCTGCTAACCGCTGCCCTCCCAAGCCCCAGCTTGCCAGCAGCCTGCCCTGCCTGTTTACCCAGCAGAGCAAATGGCTTTTTTTAACGGCAATAAAGCAGATTTGCTGCTTTTGGCACTAACGCAAATAGCCTGTGGGGAACGGGACGAAGGGCTTGAGCATCACTTGGGGTTGCCTCTTCCACCTGCAAGGCGAGCCGATGGTCACAGCCCTCCTTTGCAGGAGGGGAAAGCGCTCGGCACGATCCGCCTTGATGAAATACTTAAAGGCACCCATCATTTTCACCTTAATATTAAGGTTTGGACCATCGGTGTTGCTGCTTTTCCGGTCATTGCTTGGGGACGTAGGCAGGGGACAGCAGCACTGTGCCATGAAATTAGATCCTCCAGCAATTAAATTCTGGTTTTGCCGATCGCACACCAAGTGAAATAGGAGAAAGGATAAAAATCTAGGGAGGAGAGAAGGAAAAACATTATTCCCATCAAGTAGATGTATAGAGACGGGTAAGTAGGTGTGGGGATGCTGCTGTCTTAGGTGATTTAAGTGCTGGTTGAGTCCCATCAAGCCTTGACCACTGGGAATACTCATCAGCTCTATGGCCCGGTGTAGGCAGCGTGGGAAGAGCCACTGCCGAGCTGGGTGGAGGATGCAGCCCGGCTGCTGTGATCGATTCGCCAGGGGCTGGATGCTGGACTCGGAGGTCTTGGCTTGGTGGGTTTCATGGGACGTCAGTAGATGCTGGTGCATCTCGGTACGTCTCCTCCATGCCGAGTGATGCTCTGTGAGCAGCCAGTGCATCACGAACGGCGGCTCGGGTTGCTCATGTGCCGGGTGGACGGGCTCTGCAGCTGTAAACCCTCACCCTAACTTGGACTACTCTTGTCTTTGCCAGGGTACACTGCGGGGACTCCCTACAAGGTCCCACCGACCCAGAGTAACAACGCACCTCCTCCCTACTCGCCGTCTCCGAATCCGTACCAAACCGCTATGTACCCCATCAGAAGTGCCTATCCACAGCAGAACCTGTACACCCAGGTAGGTGCCTCGCCAGCCACCGCAGCAGCTCACCGCCTCGCTCAACGGCGTGCAAATACAGCCCGAGGTTCCTGCAGGGCTTTGTCCTTGGCTGTCAGGGCTGAGGACCCATGTCCTGGTCAGATGGAGGTGCTTGTGGTGGGGCTTGGTGGGTCTCTGGGATGCTGGGGTCTCTCTCCTGCCTCATCCGTTGGATGCTCTGGATGAGACATGGTCTTGCATGGTTGTCGGTGTGCAGTGCAGTCAACACAGTGGCATCCCTGTGGCTTGGCCAGGTTGGGAATCGGGTCCCTTTCCCCAAAATCACATGCCTGACTGCCAGGGCTTGCTGGCTCCAGGATGATCCCTGCACCCACCTCTCCTCACCCTCCCCAGTTCTCAACACTGCCCTTCCCCCAGGGCCACAGATGAGTCTGGGTCACCACAAGGTCCACTTGCTGGTGGCCGTTGGCATCTCACTCGACTTGCATCGCCCTCCTGCCACCTCCCATGGAAGATTCCCTGTATGACCTTCACCAGCACAAGCTACTTCAGGCCTGACCCAGATTCGTGTCCTCATGGAGGAGCTCCTCCCTGAGCACCTGGATGGGTTTCCAGTGCCATCTTCTCTGCTCCTGCATTGCTACCGCCTCCAGCTATGTGCTGGGGCCAAGATCCTCTGCAGGGATGCCATTTAGGGCAGATGTCCTCCAAAAATCACCTTGATGCCCTTTCCCACTGAAGATCATGAGCTCCTCAGAGCAATCTGACCCTGCGGCTTCTGTGTCTTTTCCCTTCCTCTTTAATGTCAAATAACCAACTTCTCCAGCAGCTACAACCTCATGGAGTGGTTTCTCTAAGCCTTGCTGAGACCAGAGCATCTCCTCTTGCTGATTTTGTCCACTCTCACCTCTCCTTCCATTACATGAATGCTGCACAAGCCGTTGGGGTCCAAACCCATCCCTGCATGCTGGTTCTTCTCTGATCCCGGCTACAGCAGGAGGATGGCATCTGCTTAGCAGTGTCCACCAGCAAGCCTGAGATGGAGCAGGGCTTGCACATACCATTTCCTCATCTCTCCTTCCCAGGGACCAGCAAATAAGAATTTCAACAGCCTGGAAGGGACCGATGTCAATAAGGAGATGCTTTGGTAGATCCTTTCAGCACGTTGTGCTTGCAGCACTCACCGCCTGGGCCGTTCCTTCTCCGCAGATGATTTCTTAAGTCACCTTTTCTTCATGGGCCTAATTTATCTCAGCACGTCCTTCTCGTCCCCCAAGGAAATGCTTTTCAGCATCTGCAATTTGTCCTATCAACCTTTGTAGCTCTTGAAAGAAAGAAGTAATTTAATAGTTTGCCTGCGTCTCCTTCTCCCCTTGATCCATACTTTCAGAGGTTCTCTAATGGCTTTCACTAATGCATGATAAAATCTCCCTTTGTTGTTTTAAACTCCCTAATCTTTCTGACCATCCCTGCTTTGCAGGTACTGGCGGTGTCCCTGCTTGTCCCGGGGACGGCACTTCTCTCCCTTGAGCCTCTCACATTTCAGGCCCTTCATTATTTTGGATGTGGAGCTTTTTCTCTTGGCTCCATTCTTCTATTCCCACCCGTCCTTTTCCCCTTGTTTCAAAACCCCGCGGGTCTCAGCAGCCTGGATTTTGGAGCCTCTTTGTCTCCCGTTGGAAACCCAAGAAGACAACACACTTCCCAGACCCAAGCAAGCACCTTGGGATCAGCCAAGAGCCACGGCTTCTCCTTTTCTTCCATCTCTGTTCATTTTCTATGCCAGCAGCCAAAATCTTTTGGGTTCAGGTCCCATTTCATCCCACCAAACGGAGGCAGCACGGTTTGTCCCTGAGGAGCTGACTCTCTGACCCATGATGCTGATCCCCCTCCCAGTCCCATTGCCTTCATCCATCCCGGGGACCATCCCACATGTCCACAGGTTCAGCTTCATCCTTGCTTGTCCAGGTCTCCAGGCACAGGAGCTTGCTCATGGGAAGGACCAGCCCTTTGGCAGCGCTGGAATGATGTCCCATGGGCAGCTCTTTGTACCAGCAGCTACGCATGTCGACTGCTTGTCTTAATATTGCTTCTGCAACATCTGGAGGAGCTGAGGGCTTGAGGTCTTGACGTGAAGGGCTGTCACAGCGGAGCTGCTCCGGGCTCGCTATAAGGGCTGGGCTTGGGAACCTGCTGTGTCCCATCTGGTGCAGGGGGTAGGTGTGGGGCTGCGCTGCCGCAGGCGGCAGGACCGGCCCCGAGAGCATCACTGCTCACTCCATAGCAGGATCTACAGTCGCAGCTGATGGAACTCCTTGCTGACAGCACGGTCTGTGGTACCAGACTGACACCCACTGCACACAGAGCTGGTGATTGCCTCTAAATAAAATACCGGGCTTCCAGTCACTGCTTTGGCTTGTGCTTTCAGTCGAATGACAAAGACGATGGTGGGTTTTTTTCCCTTCTCAAACAGGGAGCTTATTATACCCAGCCAGTGTACGCGGCACAGCCTCACGTTATCCATCACACCACCGTGGTTCAGCCCAACAGCATCCCATCGGCCATCTATCCGGCCCCGGTCGCTGCGCCCAGGACCAACGGTGTGGCCATGGGGATGGTCGCTGGGACCACCATGGCAATGTCAGCAGGTAAGAAGGAAAGTTTTATTGTGTTTTGAGCCATAGTTTCATCTCTCGGGTGGGACATAGCCAAACAACCTGTGCAGGAGCCTTGTCCTGGACCAAAAACTCTGTGCACCCGATGTGCTGCCTGCAGCCCGGCAGGGTGTATCTGGCCAGTGGCTGCAGAAGTGCCTTGCACACAGCTAATTGCAGCTTCAGCTGCTAGTTTTGCTTGCTGGTTACTGCTCCTTTGCAGGCAAAAATCAATTAATTTGCTCCTGATGTTGATCTAACTCAGTTTTTAGGTTAGCAGATGAGACCGTTCATTTGGCTCACTCGAGAGGGATGCACTCTTGCATCCTTAAATATGTTATTCTTTCCTCTGTTCCATAAGTAGAGGAATAACCAGGTTTCTCCATCTTCAAATACTGTTGTATTTCTATCCTCAAGTTCCTTTTTTAGGATACTTACAGTCTTGCTTTCGTTTGATGAAATGACCATTAACCTTCGTTTACGTATCCCAAATCCTCTGCATCTTATGTGCAGAATTGCTTCAAATCACAATTAATTGATAGCCCATTAAGTAAGGATATGGGCTGGCTTTATTTTTTCCGAAGCCTGTATTTCTCTCATTAACAATTCTTAGGATTGTATATTGAATTATGCCAAGAAATGCATCATTCATCCTTTTGCATCTGCGTTAGCTGTGAAACGGGGCTCTGTTACGGGACGCAATCCCCGTTGCGAGCAGGGATATTGCAGCCTGGGTATGACAAGAACCACTCTCAGAGATTTACTTGGCTTATACTGAGAAGTGGATAGATGTAATTAATGCACGTGGGATGTCTTAAAATGTCATTAGTAGCATTTGTAGAGAGATACCCAGAAACTGAGAAGTTGTTTTGAGTACCCAGTTACTCCCAGAGCAGAGGAGTTTGTATTCTCCCTCCCCCGTCTACTGAAGGTACCGTGCAAATTCTCACCTAAAATCCCTCTGCGTATCAGCTGCAGACTAAAAGAAAAGAGGGTGCGCCGGGCAGTCCCAGCTTCACGGCTGGGAGAGGATCACTCCTTCTGCTGCATCCCGAGGCTCTCGGCTCTGCGGATTTAAATGAAGCAAAAGAGCTCCACCACCCTTGGGAGATGAGTGGCAAAGCTCATCTTAATTTCCCCTGGAAGGTCTGGGGGTTTTCTCATCTCCTTTTGCAACCCTCATCCCTTCCAGTTTGGTCCTTCGATGGGTCAGATCGCGGCGGTGATCTGCTGTTGCAATTTAGGCCGGTGCCTTGAGCAGGTGGAAGATGTCAGCAGGTTAGTGGTTAGCTCTGCTGCTGGTCTGTAGGGACAAGGAAAATTGGGAAAAGATGAGTGAAGGGCCGAAAGTAGCATGGAAAATATGCTGGAGCTTCAGGTGGGTTTATTCTGTTCGTGGTGCTGGCTGATATCAACTGCATGAGTCAAACGCCTTCAATTCAGGTCTCATGGGCAGAATAATATTTGGGAGAATTGAAGAAGAAAAAAAAAGGCAGCTGATGCTGTGCCTGCCCCCGGATGCGGTCTGCAGCACCGTACCCTCAGGGTACCGCTCCCCCGCTGGAGCTCTCCTCCTTGCTAAATATTTCTCCGTGCTGTTGCAGGAACCTTGTTGACCACCCCACAACACACCGCCATCGGAGCACATCCAGTTTCCGTGCCAACGTACAGGGCTCAAGGAACCCCCACCTACAGCTACGTACCTCCACACTGGTAAACCCACTGGCCAATTCATGTGAGTGCTGCCTTTGCAGGTCTTGCTCTGCCCTGGTTGATTAATTAGCCACCAAGCACTGCCATCGCTTCTCTCCTTCCTACAAAGCTGCTGAATCCCTTTGTCTGGGCAATGCTTTGAGTCCAGAAGAGCCATTTAGCACTGCTTCCCAGCAGGGATAGCTGCACAGCTCGCTGTCCGGGGGCTACGGAGGCTGCTAGCAAAGCACGGCGCACCTTGGCCTTACATCTTGCTGCTTGGTGCATGCAAGGCTTTACCAGTGACCTCAGCGGCATCAAGCCGCTCTGGGTGCAGTCGGGCACTGCGAGGGTGGAAATGTTCATGCTTTAAGGCTTTGGATGCATCACGCTCTTTCGCAGAATCACAGAATGGTTTGGGTGGGAAGGGACCTTAAAGATCCCCTAGTCCAACCCCCTGCCGTGGGCAGGGACACCTTCCACTAGACCAGGTTGCTCAAAGTCCAGTCCAGCCTCACCTTGAACACTTCCAGGGATGGGGCATCCACAGCTTCTCTGGGCAACCTGTGCCAGTGCCTCACCACCCTCACAGCAAAGAATTTCTTCCTAATATCTCATCTAAGTCTACCCTCTTTCAGTTTAAAACCATTACCTCTTGTCCTATCCCGATGCTCCCTGATAACGAGTCCTCCCCAGCTTTCGTATCACTTGAATATGTTTTTTTCCCTCCTAAAACATGCTAGGAGATCCTCCCGCTCATTAGCATTGGGGTTACATGCAGCTGCCTGCACCCTGCCTGTTCATTAGCATCAGGGTTGCGTGCAGCTGCCTGCAGGATCCTGTGTTGCTCAGGATCCCAGAAATCCCAGCTGCTCATTTAAACGCCCTCCGCATGTGGCTGGAGCCCTTGGCCCATCATGCCCAATTAACGGGCAGCGCAGCTGATGGGAACACACGGTGCTGCACGGGGAGGCAGCGTAGATCTCATCCAGCCCAGGGGGTTATCTGAAATGTCTCCTTGCTGCATACATTATGCCGGGCTAATCCTGCCCATGACAAATTGTTGTGCAATTAGCAGAGAGCATCCCATCTGCATATTTTTAATCCCATGCATTGGATACCACCGGTGAGCTGCTGCTTTCTCAGCTCTGTGCCCAAGAAATTGCCTGCAGAGCGGTGCGAGGGATGGTTAAATCCCGTATGCATCAGCTATACATGCTGCCCGCGGTGCAGGGGTGCAGAGGAGAGGAGAAGAGCCCTGTCTGATCCTGCACCGCTTGCTTCTAACTCCTTATTTTTAATATGTTTGCTTTCTTCCAGATCCAGAGTCAAACATTGTATGCAACTACACAAGTCTTACATCGGTGCTGTGGCCACTGTACTGCAGCACCTCGTCTGTTTGCAAGAACAAAAGAAAAAAAAAAAGTGCAAGGGTCACTTTATGCATTCTTTAGTGGTTTTTGTAAAAGCTGCTTTTTCTAATCTTCTGCCTCTTTTTCCACCTCCCCCCTCCCCCTTCCTCCTCCCCAACCCACATAAATTGTGTAACACACATACTGACACTGAGCAATAGTAAAGTTCTCTCTTTGGTCCTATCATTTGAAAGCTCAGAATATTCACTTTTCCAGCATTGCCCAGCTGAGTGGTGCAAAGATCCCCCACTTCTTGTTCGTTTGGGTTCTTTTCATTATTTTTCTGTTGTCGTTGTTGTTGACGAAAGCCTAGATTTCCTTTGGCTAGTAAGAGTGGTTGATGTTCAGGGTACTATGTGAAAAGCACAGCGCTGGTAGGCAGGCTTATTCCGATTTGGTTTGGGTATTTTTAGTTGAAGAATATAAATTATTTAATCTTCCATAACATATTACAAGAAAATTGGTGTCTTCCAGATAGCTGTCGTGATAGATTATAAATGCATTATCTGCAGTGAAATTCTGAACTCATCCCTTCTTTTGTAGGAGTAAGAGAATATAAATATAATTAGCGACGTAACACACTTGTCTTAGGAAGTAGGAGGACTGGTCACCATCGGGTCTTTGGTCTGCTTTTTCCAACTGGGCAAACGGATCTTGCGTGATGGGAAGAGAGCAGCGGAGAGACGCGTGCCCTGGTAGCATCTTCCACCTCTTGGGAAAATGAGATGCTCCCCATCGGCCGCATCTGGGAGCTACGTGAGGGAGAAGTTCTTTCCTTGCATGGCTCCTGTTTGCAGGCACAGATGTGCTGGGCGGCTGGTGAAGGAAGCAAGGAGATGTCCAGGGGTTGGTCTGAAGAGCCTCTCAATGCCCAGGGTTGGTCTGAAGAGCTTCTCCAGGTCGAAGGGTTGGTCTGAAGAGCCTCTCAATGCCCAGGGTTGGTCTGAAGAACTTCTCCAGGTCCAAGGGTTGGTCTGAAGAGCTTCTCCAGGTCCAGGGTTTGGTCTGTAGAGCTTCTCCAGAGTCTGGTGGTGTGGGGAAAGAGGGCGGCTGGTTGATGGACAAGAGTCTTCGAGGCAGGGCAAGGAGGAAGATGGGTGGCTTCACCTTGCACCCATGTTGTTGGCAGGTCTGAGACCTGCGATGCCTCCATGGCAATCGAGGTGCCCCCCCATTCTTTGGGTTACAGCTGGGCCTGGAGACTTCCAGGAGAAATGTTCATCCAAGCACAAATCCCGGCACCCCAGAGAGAGGCTGGAGAGGGGGATGATGTCCGGCTGCTCTGCTTGGCGAGTGGGGAGAAGTGGGGGGAAGAGGAAGCAATAGCAATAAACATGTCACCTCCCTGATGGGAAGGCACCTGGAAAAGGCGAGAGCAAGGAAGATGATCCACAGTTGACGAGTGGGCTGGGAGACAATGGGCACGCAGAGGCTGTGGGCATCAGGGTAATTTCTGGGGGTTTTGGCTTACCCAAGGGCGCAAGGACGTGAAGCCGACTGCGGCCGGTGACATCCCACCTCGGGGTGTCCAAGCAGAGCAATAAGTTGTCTCGAGGGCAGCAGAGAGAGAGTTCATATTTGCAGACAATGCTTGCGGCCAGTTTGTTTTTAAATCCTTATCACTAAACCCAGCGTAGAAACATAGAAACATAGAAACAAGGTTTTTCTTTTTTTTTTTTTTTCCTAAGACAGAAACATCCTTGGGTTTTGATTTTTCCCTCAAATGTGCCAAAAGAGTACATTCACCCAGCGACGTGTTTGCAGCTCTCATGTCTCTGGGGCTCCGAGGTTGTCACAACGGACCAAATCCAGAGCCTTTAAAGAGGTCAGGCTAGGAGATGTGGATGGGAATCCCTCCCGGCACGCCTGGCAGGGGTTTCCGACCCACGCGTGGTGTTGAGTCAGTGCCCAGATGTCTCTGTTGGTTGCTCTGCTTTGGTCAGGCCTGGATCATATCTCCAGATGGAGGTGAGGGCAGTGGAGACCAACACTGGAGGGTCACCTTGACCAGGACATGGTGGTGTAGAGGTCAGACTGGAGGGTCTTTCAGGAGAGCAAGGAGACCAGTTGTTGGCACCTGGGTGAGACCTCCTTGCTCTTGGTGGTGTGTCCCAGCTTGGCTTCTGCTGCCATTGGGAGGAGCTACCAGAGCTCCTTCCCATGAGCATGGTCCAAATGGGGAGAAGCAAGCTTATGGACCCAAGAGGATTTTTCCTGCTGCTGGTTGGTCCTGGCTGGTTTGTCAGGTCGAGTGTTGGCACCGTCACTTCTGTATGGGGGTCATTTAGTTGGTTCTGCTGGTTTTAAAGGAAATCTAGCAAAGCTCTGGTTGACCTTCCCAACCTCAAGGGGAACAAAGGCGGGGAAGACTGAACACCAATGCTGTGGGGTGGGGAAGGTGGATTTCTCCTGTGTAGTACTTTGGGTTGCACTTTGGATTCATATAAAAGGAAAAGAGAAGGGGGAAAAAAAAAAAAAAGAGTAAATAATCAGAGGGTTGCCCCGTTTTGCTTGGCGAAGCCAAGGGTTAGAATGTAAAGAGCAACAGGACATTTGGAAATAACAATACTACATCGTACTTCCATTGTTTGTAGCACGTTACAGTTAAACCTGGGCCAAAAATAGCCCAGTAGATCACAGGAATTGAAGACCTCTCAACTACCCTTTTTTGCTCTCCCTGTTGACTTCATGTTATGTATTAGGAGTTGTCTATCAGCGTTGAAACATGTAGGATAGAGTAAGCTCTAGCCAACATAACGGCACTACGACTTGCAGGGTCCAACGAGCTTTGTTCTCACAGCCCGGGCTCTGCAGAGGAGGACCCTTCCCAGCAGACACTGCCCTAGCACCAGCCTAGGCACCCTTCACCCTTAACTGCTTTAGGAATGACTGCTAAAATTTTGGCCTACGGCTAGGAAGGAGATGCCTGGCTCCCTCCTGAAAGGAAAGAAAACACTAAAGGTGGGGTAGAAAGCTCCAGGAGCTGAGCATGGAGGATCAGCCAGTGTTACCGCTAATGAGACCTGACATGAGGTGGTTTAGTTTTAATTCCTTCACTTGGATCAATAGCAGATCTGATGCTCCTCATCCCGCTATGCCCAGGCAGAAATACTCATTAACTCCACCAGGGTGTGAAGAGGTGAAATATTTGCCATCTGTTGGGCGAAAGGCTTTGGTGAGCCCATTTGGCAACCAGTGTCGGGTTTAGGCTTGGATCACTGCATGGCTCCGGAGCCACCACATGCCTCTGGGGCCACCACATGGCTCCATGCTTGGGTAGCTCCTTCCCAAGGTGGCTTCATGGAGACGTGGTTGTGGGGAGATGCTCCCTGCCACCACGTGGGGATGTGGGGCTTGATGCGGCCCGGCTCATGCCAGCAGTGACCTGCAGCCCTGTCCCCTTCCCCGTGGAGGGACGTGGTTTTTCAGATAGATGGAAGGATGGGAGGAAAGCCCATGATCCCAAGCCCTTTCCTTGGCCAAGTCATGGCTTAAGTGAAGGTCCTGGGGAGGTCGCAGCCCGGTGGGGGACTCTCTTGGAGGGGGGACACTTGATGGGGGCCACCAGCTTCTCAGCTATTTCACCCAGCAAAGCTTTGCCGACATCGGGTAAGGAAAAGGGTTTCCCATGGTGAAGAATCACACCAGGCGTTAGTGGCGAAGAGCAGGAGGGGTTAAAGCATCCTTAGCAGCCAGCAAAGTGTCTCAGAGATTAAAATTCCAGCTAAAAAGGAAAATAACTCTCTGTTAGGACCATTAACCCATCCCTGCCGTTATCTTTGCTTTAAAACAGGAGCTGTAATGCAAGATTGGGGGGGGGGGGGAGGGCGGCCCCCAACCCGAGCGAGCCCCTTGGAGCCTGTTCCCATCACGCCTCCAAGCGGCTGAACCCTCCGGCTGAGGATTTGCTCCTGTATTTTATGAAGAAAAATAATAACCCAGTCCAGCTTTTTGCAGTTTCAAGATGTAGTTACCATGAAGTGTTATTTAAAGGTTTGGGTTTTTTTTTTTTTTAATATGATGGATGTTTCAGAGTATCAGGTTTTCCCCCGGCTGCTGGCATCCTGCTGACTACGGTCCTTCCCGGAGAGACACCCCCCCCTCTTTGCCATCCCCTCCCACTCCTTCTGCATCCCAGCGGATGCATCCCCGCAGGGGATTTGGGATGATGTGGTCCCCGGCCGGAGGGCATGAAATTGGGTCTTGCTTTCTTATAGGAAGAAAAAGAAACACATTTGGGGGTTTATTTTCGATAGGAAAACCCAACCAGCCAACAATAGCAATAAGAGCCGCTGGATACCCATAAATCCAGGTTTTGGGGTGGGGTTTTTTTTTTAATTGTCAATATTTTCAGGCCCTCTGAGCAGCCATCATCCCCGAAATGCGGCGACCCTCTGCCCAGCTTCCCTTTGCTTTGCCGTGAGTGCCGGGCTGTCGGCAGGATCAGGCTCCGGCTATTTTCTCTGCTGTGTGCTAGCATTCCAATAGGGAAAAAAGGAAAATAAAGCCTGTTAAGGAGCTTGGGAGGGAGGAGAGCTTGGAAAAGGTGTTTTTGTGGTGTGTGGCACCTATAGATTCACCGGTAATTGGGTAAAATAACCTGTTACGGGGATGTTTGCAAAGCAGGAATAGCAAAATATGTGGTTTAACAGCAGCAATTCCTGGTTGGAAATGCTCAGTCGTGCTGTTTGTAGGG